GCCATTCAGAACAAAAAAAAACAAAAAAAAGTATCTCTATAAGTAGTAAATAAGTTATGATGTCGTCGAGTAGAAGAAGTGGTGCTAGAGGTAATGGATAATGATCCTACGACATTCACGTACATTACATTATTACATAAAAATGATGATTCAACATTGCTGCAAATTTAATTATGCACAATTCGTGTAAAATAAATTAATTTGCAACATTTTTATAAAATAAATTCTTTTCGTAAAATAAAAGGCATTGTAAGGTTATCCATTATTTACCGGACACCCTGTATTATAAATTAACATCGGTTTTTTTAAAGCAGCCTGTCTAGCCAAAGCCTGAATGCTATAAATAAACAGAATCTCTTCCCTCGATGTTATTTTAACTCGGATTCTTATTAGGAATGTAGCCGCAGCCTATATTTTATACGATTTTCATTTCTTTCGGCTTTTATTAGAACATTTTTGCAGTAACTGCCCCAATATATAGATTTATTACTGACGCATGATATTATTAAAGTGAACCTCGCTCGACCCAAGAATGAACCGGGATCGAGCAAAAAGTGATTTAGCCACTATTTTCTTTTAGCAGTGTTAAGCATCCATTTGGTCCGTTTTCTGACCTATCTCTTTTTACAATAACGCACCTGTTTCTCTCTCTCTTCCTACTATATGTAAAAGTTTGTGAAAAAAACATAACTCTTGACGTGTGTGGAGTTATATAGGATGTTGTTTATCTTTTGGCAGAATATTATAGATTTTAGTCTGTTAGAGATAATTTTTATGCTAAGCACCATTTAAATATGATGTACCTAGGTGTTTTTAATAATGAATTGTCTTTACCTAATTCTAAAAATAAGTATAATAAAACAAACGGGGTGAGCTAAATAAAACCGTTTAAAAACCGCCTTAATTTATTTAGATTAGTAAAATTTCGTTTTGATATTTAAATTTAATGATGAAAATAGATTATGAGGTACGATGGGACTGACATCATAAAATCTCTAAATATAATAAAGAGAAAAAAAAAAGTTTGTAAAAATGTATGAATGTATGTTTGTTATTCCTTCATACCATTTTTTGGTTTGGTTGAAATTCGGTATCTGGATAAGGGTTAGCAAAGAGGCTACTTTTTATCCACCACGCTGGCGATGTTAGAGCAGGAAAAGGAACAGGGGGGGTTTTTAGTCAATAAGAGTCTGACACTATGGGCGGGAGAAATCATTTGATGATTTTCCCCTCACAAAAAAAAACGCTGGCGATGTCGCGGGCGGAGTCTAGTTTACAATAAAAGAAAACAGCCCTTACATACATTCACCCACAACAAGATTATATGTTCGACGGAGCGACTAATGTAACACATATGTACGTATATCGGTAACATATACATATATGTGTTTAGGTTGTATGTACTATCAGTGTCATAAGTGCATGGAGGATTCCAAATCAAAATCGTTTGTACGGCGTTTCATCGCCTTAATAATATACCATGGATGATATAGATGGCGCTAGTATACTAGTGGTATTGAAAAATATACATTTATAGTTTTTATCAGATACAAAGTTATTAACTTAATAAGTTTTTACACAAATTAATGCTATGATATTCCAAACCTTTTTAAAGCAAAGCACGCAATAACCAGGATTCGAACTCGGTAGCATAAAATTTACCGGTGCTACTAGCCATTAGGCCATTGCGTAACCTTGAAATGTATTGAAATTATCCTACTCTTTATTATATTGAAGTTGTTTAGCAACTATAACCCGATCATAAATCTCAAAACAGTTGAGGGTAATTTAATATTAACTGTATAAAAATTAAACCATTTTGTTCAATCATAACATTCTTTACTATCTTTGAGTGAGTTCAGTTACGATTTGTTTAACAAGTTTTTAATATTTATTTTTATCATGAGTTTGCGTTCAAATATTGATATGGCTACGAGGGCCCAAATAATAGCATTGCATAATCAAAGCTTAAATTATACTGAAATTTCGAGAGAAACTGGCTTAAACGTAAGTATTCTTTTAAAATGACCGTTCGTTATTTATTTTATTATCCATGGTTATCGATACATGAAAATAATAAATAATACACGTCCCTTACAGGTAAAGACTGCCACTTTATGGATATCTAAAGCTGTTTCAAGAAGAGGGTTCATTGGAGCACCGTAGTGGATCTGGCAGAAGACGTGATATTGACTCAGACCAGCTTCAACTTATGGGGCAAGGTTATGAGGAAATATACTGGAGCATTGTCATCTTCAGTGATGCAAACAGTGAAAACTACATAGATGTGCTGAAGACGTCATGAAGATGTGGTAGTGATAACGTTCGTGCAGGACAATTGTCCTATGTGTAATGTTCCATAATTGTGCAAGTGTTTAGTCAGCAATCAGACATACGGATTATTACTTGGCCAGCGAGATAGGAGAAATAGGATCGATAAAAATGGCGGCTACACTAGTTCTTAGAAGAAAAGATATTGTTGACTATAGGATTAAACAATTACAAGACCGGGGTAGCTATATTTTTTTTAATGGATAAATTTTCAAACTTAGTGTTAGTAGGATAAATTATTTATTTAATATTACTATAAACAATTCGTCCCATATCTAATGAATGCTATATCCCGGTCTTAGAAATGTTATTGATTTAAGGTCTAGCTTCAATTTCTTCCTTGTTTTGGAACGAATACTTAAGCTATGAGCCTTTGTCATAACATGATGCACAAAATGAATCACTTTAGTCAATATTTTAATTAAATTTTATGGGGAGGTAAAACGGTTACAGAAGTAAGGTTGCATATAGAAACATATTATTACATTGTGTTTAAAACTAACTAATAAATGACTAGCACAAAACAATTTTGATTTAAAATACTTATTAATCTTATGAAAAGTGAATTAAATAATGTGTCAGTTAGATGAAAAGTTATTAGGTCAGGGTATACATATTATAAGAAAGAAATAAATATTATGTTTTAAGAAATAAATGTCTGAAATTATAATGTCACTAAAATAGTTTTATTTTTTATCCTTTATGAGAATTAAACTTAGTATTAGTCTTAATCTGTAAGAAAAATAAGTTACTTTTACATTAATAGTTAGCACATATTATAAAAGTTATTTATATATATTTATTAATATATTTTTATTCTAATATAAAATATATATATATATATATATATATTTGTTATCTTTTATAAATATTAAACGTCAAACATTTTATTTATATATTATTATTATTCATTTTATATAAAAAAATATAAAAAACCCATTGTTAAAAAATCAGAATTTAAAAATGATAACACGGAATTGAACCGGTGCCCTTCGACGTCATTATTCTATCATTCATATTCATCCGAGCTACCGATCGCATTTTTTATGAGGTCGAAAATGCGGGTTAGTTTATAACTTTTATTATTGTCTATTATTAATTATTGACGCCATCTTTTAATTGGTTTGCTTGACTTGACTTAGATGGCGCTATATTAAGTCCTCGGAAATGAGAAAATTAACATAATTTATGTGTATTTGAATATAAATATATTATTGTTTCTTAATTATTATTTTAACCATTAAAAACCTTATTATGTGCCTCTGCAGTGTTAAGTATTCAAGCTTTGCACGGTTATTTTCATTTTAAACCAGCGCCATCTAGTTATCAATAGTAGCGTTATGCAAAACTTGTCGGTCAATAGTCGACCTTAAGCTCTCCATGCATTTTTGTCACCCTTAGTACATCGTATAGTTGGCAAAGTGGCTGAGCAATAGGATGTTGTGAAACGTGTTATGGTTTTCCGTACGGAAAAGTACTTTGTGTGATTAAAAAAATATTGTTTCGAGCCTACATGTGATTATTGTTATTACAACGTCAACGAATATTTAAATGAGAAATAGTAAAATGATTAGAATAATAGTTATTAAATAAGACTGAAAAAACCTCTCTTCCTCTCTCCTACTTTAATTTTTACTTCTACTTTGCTGTGCCCGACAGGGTCCATGATGATCTCATATTTTAATGACTTGGTAAGTCATTAAAATATGAGATCACATTGTGGAATGCAATAAATGATTGACTATTGAGTATTGATTAGTAAATGACACAGAAGAAGAAAAGAAAATCCTTTTTTTTTAGTAAAAAGAGTAGATAGCCAATATGTACATATAAAGTCTAAACCCCGAATGGTTTCGCTCCAATCAAACTATCATAGAAAGTACCTCTAGATAGGCCGGGCCAAATAGTAGGCATTTCTCTGCGAACCAATTTCACCCTTGATCCGCAAAACGACTCTGCGCTAAGCTTTGGAAATTATCCTTCGATCCGAGCGAAAATAAACGTTATGTGTTTTGTAGATACAGATTTATATAGTGTACGACTATTTACTTTTTTGCTTCCTTAGTGTATGGTTTTATTTGTGTTTATATAGGTTTTGTATGTCAATAGGATAGGTCAATTTGTTTTCCCTAAAATATGTTTATTTCTATTAGTTTAAATCTGTAACGTATTTTTTCAAGTTTTACAAATATAATTCGTGGAATATAAGTGTCAGTCCTAGTCATCACAAAGCATTTTTCCTTAATCTGGAAAAATAATCAAATGACTCCTCCCACCCCATATGAAGCGTCTCTTAGCCAAAGCCAAATGGGTAGTTTCCCAGGAAAAAAATAACGACCTTTTTTTAAAAAATTATCGACGACGATGACTTTTAAATACAATGAACTATTAAAATTATAATCTTACTGTCATTTAATGATCTGACGATATACTTAACTTTAGATTTTTTTCTAGTTAACTTTTATAAAATGAGTTGTTGTTGATTTTGTTTCAAGTAAAAAAATTATAACGTCATATTTTGGGATCTCATACAAAATTTATAGAAAAATATAGTTTTTACCATTTCAACAAAAAAATATTATATTAGATTTTGGTAAATTTAGAATTTGGAAATCTAGTATTATTTTAGCTTGAAAATATCGCTACAGTTATTATATTTTTGTTCTCAGGTCAAAGATTCGCGATGTTGGAAATGAAATGCATGTTGAGCGGAGTTTGTCGCAAGTTCAAGTTGTCTCCGATTGTCCCAGGAGGACGGCCCGAACTTTTAGCTGACATGGTACTACGACCGGCGGAGCCTGTCTGCGTGAAAATGCATCTAAGATAAATAAGAATTAAAGTCAGTTTTGAATAATTGTGATATGTTAATTCAACCATTTTTATTGTGAGCAAGAAAACAAAAGATTTTTGTTCTTATAATTTTTTGTGAGTATTGTGATACTCTAAAATATGTACAGACATCATATTTTAATAAGGGCCGATTTTTCAATGTTTACATAGAAGTTATCTGTTGAATAATTATGATGCTGTCGCGTCAGAATGTTTGTATAAGACAGTGACAGCAACAATTTTATTCATCAGATAACATTTAACTGGCTATTGAAAAATCTGCCCTAAATAAGTTAATAAGGAAAGGTTATAAAGTGACAGTATTTGAAAAAAAATTTTACAAAATAAAAAAACCGCCTTCAAAAAAAGTCAAGCAATAAAAGTTCCTACACTAAAAAGTAAAAAATAACAATTTGAATTACTGTAAAAAAACTTAATTTATAGGTAAACTTATTTGACATTAATATTTTGCAAATATTCAAAATTTATTACTTATTTTTGGAGTCGGTGCCAGCATTTTGATGTTGAAACTTAATGTTAGTTAGGTTTTTAATATCCGGTGCCATTTTTCGTACATAATGCTTAAACATTTTCAATGTACTTAAAATGTTTTTGTAAGTACATATTTTTTATTTAAAAAAATGTGCAAATCGGACATTTTTTGTAGAGAAGTCTAATCTGTATTTATGTCTTAATTAATATACCTATATTTGAGTATGCAAATAGGTATTAAGTAGTTTTATAATTAAGTAAGAGGTAGTTTTTCAAGGGATTGTTGCCCATTTGTATTTCCTTGCATGGGCTGGCACCGACTCCAAAAATAAGTAATAAATTTTGAATATTTGCAAAATATTAATGTCAAATAAGTTTACCTATAAATTAAGTTTTTTTACAGTAATTCAAATTGTTATTTTTATTTTATTTATTGCTTGACTTTTTTTGAAGGCGGTTTTTTTATTTTGTAAAATTTTTTTTTTTATTTGTAGCCGTTTAGTGTTTTTTTTTTTTTATTATAATGTGTTATGGCAAAGACGTCAAAATCGTTCCCACATTTCTTTTGAAAAAGTTACCAATGTCATACTTATACGTAGAAATACATATCATAGTACATTGTTACTGTGTAATCGTTTTGATCTCGAGGAGAGATGATATGATGCATGAGATACTTATGACTTATAGTTAAAATAAAATAATAATCTTATCATAAATTCATATTAGTTCTCGCCAAATAACAAAAAACTAGATATTTTCATCAACAGACAGATAAAGTTCAAAGATACCAAATGCAATCTAATTTAGTATCTATGATTAAATACATTCGTACATAGAAAAAAGACCGATGCAATTATTGTTTTGTATCAATTGTAACCCATTAAATGAAGAATACTATTTTGTTATTACTAAGAACATTCATATATAGACAAGTTGGTAAAAATATAAAAGACCATCGCTATTGTAAATATACATTTATGACTCATTCAATGTATGAACCTTTTTTAAGTAAGTATTATCTACATATGTGCACACAAAAGAAACACAATTATTGTTTTGTACGACGCAATTATTGTTTTGTAACCCATTTAAAACGACTGTTTTGTTAAAAATGCCAATTAATTCTCTTAGCCTATTACCAGGAAAACGATAAGAACACAATGACGCATTTCACCACTAATGTGTAAACGCAGTCCACGTGGACTAATGCAAAATAGCCAATACTAGGCCAAACTCCGCCCCCAAAGGTGTGCGGTCCCGCTTTAGAACCTTTCGGCCCCATCGGCCATCTGTTCTACGAGCAATGTGCCGTGCCCACTGTCACTTAAGTTTGGCATTTCTTCGGGCTATGTCGGTGACGCTGGTTCTTCTGCGGATTTCTTCATTTCTGATTCGAACATGCATGGAAACTATGAGCATAGCCCTTTCCATTGCTCTTGACAGCTCTAATAAGCTTACACAATACTAGGCCCCATGCCAACCTTCCAGCTTCATCATCACATCAGTTCAATAGTACCTTACAGCCAAAGTGCATCTTATAACAATTCTAACAAGCCCAAACACGGCTAGGATATATTAATTAGGTACGCAGTTCCAGTGCCTACCTTCCAGCTCCTTAATCATCATTAAATCAGTTCGTTGATAACATTTCCAACATAATTATTTAAGATCATTGGTTTACAGTGCATTTTCATAGTTGCTGAACTACCTTGATTGTGATATCTATGCGAGTGTCAAGTTTCATCATCCATTTCTGATCTTCTTCACCAGTTCCACCTCATCAAACATTACTTTTTGACTGTAAATGCTTGAGTGCTCTATGAAAATATTAAAATTACTATATAGTTGCCTATAATATTTGAGGAGTTCCCTCGATTTCTCATGGATCCCATCATCAAAACTTGATTTTGAAAAGAATGGGACCAATCTGGAAGCATATCCTTTCAATCATAAAAAAAATTTTGCAAATCCGTCCATAAACGACGGAGTTCTGAGGTAACAAACATAAAAAAAAAAAAAAAATACAATCGAATTGAGAACCTCCTCCTTTTTTTTAAGTCGGTTAAAAAGGTTTAGAAATTAATAATTATGATCATGTAGGCCCGTTGTTTATTCATAGCTATGACTACTGTAGAAAAGATTATGACATTACAATATGTTATAAAGCCGAAGAGGTGAAGTAACCAGAGGTTGGTTTGGTTATAGAAATATTAAGTATTAATTTCCCCAAGCCTAAGGCAAGGTAACATTTCTTTATTCACAGACATCAATAACCACAGTCCTAAATGATTATAATAACATAATTGATAAGGATAGAGAAGATGAGGGGTTCATTTTCCCATCCCTAATCTCCAAATCCCCAACTCATAAAACGCAAAGTTACTCCACCGGTTTTTTCAGTATCCATGGGGGTCGCTGATTTGATCCGTTTCGTAAGAAAATACGTCAAACTATCTAAGTGTAGTCGGAGAAGATTACTAAGAAATTTATGCAGATTCGTTTTTCTAAAATTTCGTTACTCACACTTTTCAGTGTGGTTAAATATTTAAATAAATTGTGTGAATACGTTTTTTAGGTTATACCTACTTTTAAGTTTACGTAACGATAAGATTGAAAATGTAAAATAAAATTGCTTTTGTTTTATTTGTCAAAGTAAATAGGTTAAAGGTACATACATAGGTGCTGTTTTTGACGTAAAATGTAAATTACTTTTGTATTCCAGTGAAGAATGTTAGTTCAGTTGTCCTCAGACACGTGCTTCGACATAAGTTCAACCATTGTAACTTAGTGAAGTAGGTGACAATAAGGCTGGCCCGTAAATTGTAAAATAGCATCTTATATTCAAAGTAAGAAGGTGTATATTACTATGTTCATAGTTGAAATAAATGTTTTTTTATATGAAATATAATTGTGTTGTTTATTTTTGTGTTTTGTTCTCAGCTTATTGTGATTTTACACGTGTTTTTTTATGTAATTGGTCGGCAAACCAGCAGACGGATTACCTGATGGTAAGCAATCAGCACCGCCCATGCACACCCGCAACGGAGTAGTTACGAGTGCGTTGCCGACCTTTTAGGGATTAGGGATTTGGAGAGTTAGGGATTGAGGAGGGATTGGGGGCGGGGAAGGATTGGGCCTCCGGTAACCTCACTCACACGGCGAAACACAACCCTCTTATTGGTAAAGAGTGAGGGATACCTACACTTCACAGTTTTATTTTTTGAGTAGAGATCCATTCTGTTTCCCGCTCTACGTAGGGCACGATGGAGTGCCCCGCTACTACATTCCTGTAAGGGGAAAACTTACTACACTTACTAAACAACTTACTAAACTTACAACTTACTGATCGTATTTTTATGCGACAAAGCTGCCATCTTATGAGGAACATTTCAAAAAATCATCATTTAACAACAAAGGGTTAAAGCGTAAGTCTTAAGTTCGTCCGTCGCTCTATCTATCTGTCTGTCTGAAACCAGGCTGTATCTCGTATACTTCACAAGCTGGACTGTCGAAATTTACACAAATTATGAATTTCTTTTGGGCGATTTAATGACAGACATTAAGAATTAAACAAAATGCTTAACTAATAATATGAACGTAAACAAACGTGGTACCTGTTTTTATTTTGACAGTGTAATTTTCATTCACGAAGCCAGTAACACTTAGGTACTCGTAAATCTCTATACTCTATGGTACTCCACGATAAAATAGCAGTGGATTATTATAATTAGCTGGCAGACCGTTATTGTTCTAAAATTGGCGTTGTATTGTTTTCGAGTTACGATTTATTATATTTTTAGTTAGTTTTAAACCAACAATAGATCAAAGCTTACATTGTATTGTTTATAAATTTTAAAACAATGAAGCTGCGTGTAACTTTGGCGAGAATTCCAGATTTAAAATATTATACAAAGAAGTTTGGTGATTTTACTGCCGTATATACATACATGTCGAAGCGTCGATTATTTAAATTGTATTTTGAAGGAGGTTTTATCACAATAAAATTCATCGGATGAGGGTACAATGAATCGTACTCTGGCGGAACGTCAAACAGACAGTTCTGCGTGCGCATTATGGTGGAGAGCGAGCACTGTGACTGTCATAAGAGACGGAGAGCCGACGTCCGTTATTTTTGTAATTTATTCGGCCTGATTGTAAAATCCTACGCCCTGCGATGTACTGTGAAGACGATGATCGGGATTTTGATGTTTGTACCAACCCCCGGTGCCTTCATATATAATATTATTATATATGCGTATAAATAAATCATTATCATTATCAATGTGTGTGGAAGAGCTATGGCTTCGGCATGAATGAGCCGCTCGATCGGTGTGGTACCACGGCCTCATAAGAAACCATCCGTATAAACTTGGTATAAACATGTTATTATTATAATTTTTAATGTGTGTGGGAGAGCTATGCTTTGGCATGAATGGACTGGCTGGACCGGAGTAAAACCACGGGTCCACAGGAAACCGGCGTGAAGCAACTCTTACGTTGTGTTTCGCCGTGTGAGTGAGGTTATCGGAAGGCCCAATCCTGTCCCTCCCCATTCACTACCTTCAATCTCTTATCCTTAAATCCCTAAATCCCTAATGACCTACAAGAGGCCAACAACGCTCTTGTAGTCACAACACAACGCTGTAGTTGTTTCACGTCGGTGCAAGGCCGTGGTATCACTCCGGTCGAGCCGGCCTAGTCGTTATGCGTAAGCATGGCTATGCCACACTTGAATTACCTCCAAAACCACAAAAAATATTACACCGTCACACAACACCATTGTTAACAAAAAACAATTTTGAACAAAATCATTGTTTTTGTTCAAAATTGTTCAACAAACACTTAAATAAAACACTAAAATAAACGGTCGAATATTTTGTCAAAGAAACAAAATTT